AGGTTGCTGTGAGCTGTGATGCCACAGCACTCTACCCAGGGGGATAGCTTGAGGCTCTGTCTCAAAAAAAAAAAAATGTACAAATAGGTGAACAAATTTCAATAATGTATTTAACTTAATATGTCCAAACTGCTATCATTTCAGTATAAATGCTTTTCACTATAAATAGAAGTTTAATAGTGTCATAATAGACCAAAAATACTAATAAGGTATTTTACTTTACTTTTTTTTCTATACTAGGTCTTTCAAGTCTGGAGCATTTTTTTTTTTTTAATAGTTAACACACATTTGGATTCAGACCAGCCACATTTCCAATACTTGGTGGCAACATGTAGATAACACAGTTAATAGAGATTGAGTTAGGTTGAGGTGGGAAGTAAAGATTTGGTGGTTAAATGTGAGTTAGAGAATACAGAGTAAATGTGAGACCGATTTCTAAGCTTCAGGTAATATTTTCACTTAAGGATCAGGTAAAGGAAGGGAGACCATAGGCAAAGAGGTAAAAAAAGGTAGTGTTCTGGCTCCAGCAAACATGTAGTTAGTTACAGGAAGATGTCCCTCTGTAACTGCTAGAATAGTAAAGACAAACCCAGAGTCCTTGCCCTTGGAGCGTCCTCTTATCTCAGTCTGACAGAACAGCAGATGGAATGAACGTCATTCTCTATCTGATTTGATCTTTCTCCAGTGACTCCCATTTTCATCTGCTCATGGGGGTGTATTCGTCGGGCTGAGGGAAATTTGGGGCACTCAGTTCCGACCTAGATGTCATTCACCCATTTGTGGAATCATTTTGGGCTGAACCCCTTTCTTGGCCCTGCTGACAGTGGAGTTGGGTTCTGCTGCTGGTGGCAGAGCCTGAAAACTAGCATGACATTCACAAGTATAGACAGTCTCATGCTGGTTTGCTTTCCCTCCCCATCACTCCCCAGATTTCCTTAGCTCCAGCCCAACTCCGTACCTTACATCCTTCCTGTTTTATGCAAGCCTTTCCTTTTGCCTGGGGTGCCTGTTCCTTTTTTATTGGGGGTAAAATTTTCAGAGCCTGTGCTGTTTTCCTTTAGCTGTGTGAAATGTGTGGCCTTTGTGTGCACATATATTCAGCCTCACGTGGGCTGAATTGCTTGTGCACCTCTATATGATGTCACGCTCTCTCTGCTAGGAGCATGTCATCATTCATCGTAGATGTGTGTATGCTGAATTTCTGATACAATAAAATAGGGATAAGGGGCAGGGTGCAGAGTAGCTTCGGTGCTTCTGGTATTAAAAATCCTTAGATAACGTTATTAGTATCTTAGCACAGCTTAAGTAAGGGAGTAAGCTTCACATGTGGTAGGATTCATATTACAGTTTTGTCACCATCTGGGTGATCTTGGGCACGCTATTTAGCCCTGCTGTGTTTTAGTATTCTTATCTGTAATAATGGGGATAATAAAACATACCTCGTAATGGAGTTAATGACACATACTTCATAGGGTTATAATGAAGTTTAAATAAGTTAATATATTTAAAGCACTGTGGTTACTGGCACATGAGCACTATTCTTGCTATTTATTAGTTCATGAAATATTTAATACCTACTTTGTATGCGCCTTTGTTTCAGGTGCTAGGAATGCAGTGGTAAAAAGACAGAAAAGGGCCCTATTCTCGTGGATGTTATATTCTACCTGGGAGGGAATTAATTAAAAATCAGATGGATGATGTGGGTGGCGCCTGTGGCTCAGTAAGTAGGGCCCCTGCCCCATATACCTAGGGTGCTGGGTTTGAACCTGGCTCTGGCCAAACTGCAACAACAAAAAAATAGCCAGGCATTGTGGACGGTGCCTGTAGTCCCTACTACTCACGAGGCTGACAGAAGAGAATCACCTAAGCCCAAGAGCTAGAGGTTGCTGCAAGCTGTGACACCACGGCACTCTACCGAGGGTGATAAAATGAGACTCTGTCTCTAAAAAAAAAAAAACGCAGATGGATGAGATAATTCTCCCTTTTACCAATTCTGTCTTTCCTGAACAATTGCTCCCCTTTCACGGTTAGATGCTTTTTTTTTTTTTT